CGGTGCTAGCCGCCGTCGCCTCGAGTTGAGAAGGAACCAATCGTCCCGATGCAAAACCTCCGCGCGCGCATCAAGCGCAAGGCGCAGCTCAAGATGCAATCCAAGCGCAAAGCCATCGAGATGGAGAATGTGACGGCCACGCCTGCGCCCAAGCGACTTCGCCGATGCACGAAGGCGGGAACGTCTGTCGCTAGCATGCTTGCGTTCAATGACCAGTTGCTGCAGTCGTGGGAGACGCAGCTGTCGGCAGAAGGTTCGATGCATGCGCTCGTGACGTGTTCTCATATTCTGTGCGCAGCGTCGCCACAGGTGCGCGTCCACGACAAGCTCATTGCGTCGCTCGAGCTCAAGTACAAACTCCACGAGACGCTTGACTTTCTCTCGCAGCTCGCGCGGTTACAAGGGGAAGCGGCGTAAGAGATTACTTGCATAGCACAGCGTAACCTCGGTCGCGACACGATGGTTCTATGATATCGCATCCCGGACCATCTCCTGCGGTAGTCTAGTCGACGATGACGAGTCGGCCCTCCTTCGCAGGATACGCCAGCAGCCGCTTCTTCTCGATGAAGCGCACGACTTCCTCGGCGATCTGGTCGTGTGTCGAGACTAGCTCGCCCTTCTGCCACGCGACGCAGCCATCGCCGCCGCCCGCAACAAACTTGGTCGTCGCGACGAGCACGACCGCGTCCAAGTCGATGTCTCTGCCAAACTCATCTTTGAACGATGTAATCTACGCAGCCCATCAGCTGGAATACGAAAGGCGGCGGCGGTACCGCTGGCGACTCGGGGCGCGACCGGTCGTAAATGATGCGAAGGCCCGAAACGTGCGGGAACGAGCCCGAGAGCGCCGGGTACACTCGCAAGTGCTGCTCGATCGCCTCCTTGAAGTCGGCCGCCTTGATTTTGATGAGCACCGCAGGGCGCGGGAACGGCATCTCTTTCTCAAGCAGTCCCACCGTCACCGTTGTCTTCGCCGGGTGCACTACCAATTCGCTCAGACACTCGACGATAACAACGATCGTACCATTGTCACCACGGACAAAGCCGCCGTTGACTAGGCCAAACTGCGCGCCGAGCTCGGACCGGATCGCGTCAGCGACCAAGTTGCCAAAGTTGCTCTCTTCGCCGCGCATGACCGACGTCCGCGTGTCAAGCGGTAGCTCAAGCACGGCCAGCTGCCGCGCGGCCTTGGCGAGGGCGTCGTCGCTCGA